CTATGTATGTCTTATGAAAAGTTAAACTGGTATGAACAATTGAAAGATAAATATTGATCTAAAATCACACCTTTAAAGAATTTAAGTAAAAAGTTTAAACCAAAATTCGCATTAAAAACCATAAAATGAATATGAATACTTACGTTTCTAAGAAAGCTTACCGAATATGCCTGAAATGAACAATATGAGGCCATGAATAAACCACTCTTAATATACAAATATATATACCATATGTACATACATACATTGTACCAAAAAGGAAGTGAAGAAGTTGAAAAATATGGCGTATATAAGCAACAAAGAAATCTCAAGAGAATTTAAGACAAGTTATATTGTTCCAAGTGAATTAAATATATGTCTTTAKAATAAAAGTAAACAATAATGTTATCGACTTGAATTAAACTCTGCGCGAGATAATATGCATTCACAGTTTATTATTATTATATGTATTCTATTGGATATAAATAAAATTATATATATATATACAGATGTAGTTATATATGTAAATGTTAGTTACATTATCTACAAGTTATGTTGAATTAATGTATATTTGATTTTATGCCTTTTTACATGTTAAACTAAAGCGAGTCCGAAGCTTGCAAATTATATACCATATATGTACATATATATGTATGCATGTACATTTTTAAATATATATATATATATATACACATTTATAAAACTACTATGCGTTTGCATGCAACGAGCGTGAATGTGTCGTCCTAAATACATTCATACATATTTATATGTAATCAATCACCTTTCGTACCATTTTTTTGAAAATCCACTTATCCAAAAGTAATTATAAAACCTTTTTCAACTTGAAATTCCATAAAAAACACGAATATTTAAATAAAAACGATAAAAAACCGAATTTTACAATTTTTATTTGTATGCAGAGGATGTTAAGTAAAATGGAAAATTGATTCTGTGCCCCTTTTCTGCAACTCGATTCGAAAAAAATGTATTCGGTAACTAGACTTTCGCATTTTCCATTCTATTTTCGTATAAAATATGCTTTAGCTGTAGCCGTTTGAGTTGTAGAAAGTAAAAATGAAAAATGTAGCTACTTATTCTGGTACATCTGACTTTTCTTACTGAATGCCGGACTAGTCAGTTTAAGAACAGGCAGGCATTTTTTTATCACGAAATTTTGTAAAACTCAGAACGAAACGTCGGAGACCGCATAAAATTTATATACATATACATAAGCTATCAGCAAGATGAGCTGAGTCAATTTAGCCATGTGAGACGGTCCATCTAATATACCTGAACTAGTCCCTTAGTTTTTGAGATCTAAACACGTTCTTTTCTTCCTCAGAAACTGCTCATATGTCGGAAACGCTGATATCGGTACACTATTGCCTATAGCTGCCATGCAAAGTGATCGGTCAAAATCTTGAACTTATTTGGAAAACTAAATTTTACAATATGACGATGTTTAAGCGACAAATAATTGCATCAATATTGCGGCACAGATGTTTTTCTGCAGATACACAGCTGCTACTTATTCGGCAACATTTTTGCGTCGAATATGCTGCCTTGCTATACTGAATTCTTTTATGGACACTTTTATTTGTGAATATAACTATTATTATAACTTCAATACAACCGAAGTTAAGTCGAATTAGTAAAACAGCTTTTGCTGATTGCATTAGAATTAGAATTTAATTATATTGCGTGGACCTAATAATAGCTCAAACAATAACAATTAATTAAAAATTAATTAATTAAAATTATGAACTGTCACAATACTATTTACATACACTCGTMATTTTGAGGATTATAGCTTCGGTCTGCACTATTTATTAAGAATCCATTTGATTATATACAAACTTCAATAAATACMTAAACGAATACAAATTACATCAACAATATGTAGCTTTAGTTGTTTTGGCAGCGACAATCGAAAGTKAAAGCCTCGAAAACAACTCTTATTGCCACTATTAYTCATTCGGAACTTTTCATTGTTTACTGAAATACAAAGGTATAGGGTGCATTTATTATACATATACAAGGAAATCCGAGTAGTGTGGATTATTTTGTAAATATTGTATTTTGTCAGTGTGATATTTTGTTAAAGCAGCTTTAGTAAACTTAAGTTACTGCCGGCAATTTTTGATTTTATAACGAAATGATTACGGGACTCGACATTGTTAGTTTCTGTTAACCATCCCGTATGATCAGAAAGCTTAAGTTGCGTTGAAATAAATAGAATGATTTTGTCCCGATTTTTATTTGTATAATATAACATCTAAATAAGCTTAAATCGACTTAAGCTCTTTCGAAATATTGTTGATGTTATTATTCTAATCGTTGCAATCAACCCTTAAACTACAACAATTGTGTAGTTGTATGCATGCAAGTGCCACAAATATTACCAACGACAACATGCTGATGGCAATAAGGTCATTCATTGCCTTGGTGATGGCAAAGCAATGCAAGCACACCAAACATTTGCATCGATTGGCCTAATTTTACATTTTAAAGTTGCAATAAACTTTACTGTTGAATATGAGTGACGATAAGGGCTGCAATTCGGGTTCTGTATTACCCAAAACGGCGATTCGTTATTAATTGTACATAAAAAAATTTTTTTTTTGTCATTTAAAAGTTAATTTCAGAATAAATTTGATTTCTGTACCAATTTTAATTATCAAAATGTTTAGATCCAATAATATCTACCAAATCTCCGATGTGTGAAAAAATGCAATATAGAGATGTCAACAGTACTATGCACGTTTTGACAAGCCCTCTCAAACAAGATTTTCTGTCTTTCTCAATATTCGACACGTCAAAAGTCATAGATACCATATTACGCTATGTAGTTTAATATTTCAAGATACTCCCTCAATAAACCGGTAATTGTTGTTTAAAGTCAACTAATTTAGAATTTTTTGAGGCCATATTGACTAATATATAGGGTATAAGGTGAAGGAGAACTCGGATACTTTCTTAAGTGACTATGCAATGATTCAGGGGTCCGTATCACACACTGATAATCAGGTAAAGCCAGCGGTATGCCAAAAATGTGTTGAAACGGGCCAATACTTCCCTTAGCCCCTATATACTTAATATTAAGATTTTCGAACTTCCGGGTGACTTTGTATCGATATATCGGCCAATATGTGAGTTATCCCAATAAAAATAAGAGGACGTCTTTTACCCTTAACAGTGTATCTTTGTTACTAAAATAGATTAATTTGAGCGAAAACTTGGCTTAGTCTCTATATAACTTATATTAGGATTTTCGAACATCCCGCTGACTATACTCTGTATGATATTCTTTACACTTTAAAGTATTTCCCTGGGTTTGATTCTTGCAAGTTGCAAGAGTATAAAATGTTCAATTGCATCCGAATTTAGACATTCCTTACTTGTTGATTACTGATCATGAGCGGCGGCGACAAATCCCTTCGTTCACATATATTTTTGGTAGAATTTCAATCTGGCCGTTCCATTCGTTCCAATTGCTAAATGTCAAAACCTAACCGGTCCAGGTCAAACTTCCAATGACAGAAGAGTTGAGTATCTCTTTATCTCCGCTTAAATCTCCGTTACCGATTGTTTAAAGTTATATTCGTTGCTACACACTGACTTCAGTCTTCCAATAACAATAAACATCGAAATCCCCAAACGTTAGTTAGATTTATCGACAAACCGATAGTTTATCATACATATAGGAAACGGATTTTAAACAATTAAAAGCTTCTTAATCCAACTTTTTCTTCATGCTTAAAAAACAATGTTGTGTGCAAATGTGTTTTCATAAACCTATCTGATTTGGAGTACAACCTTTATGCAAGTTGAGCTTTTTTCGTTCAAAAGCTCCAGTATATCTTGTAATAGAAGTAAAAGCTTCGCACTGAGAAACAGAGGGAGAGTGTTAAATGTTTGTGCAGCGCATGTTTTCAAGATATTTTATTAGAATTCTATTAACACACATAGATACATACAATATACATAACTAATGTAACAAACAAGTAAGGCGAACTTTACTTCTGGCACAACGGACTTTGCACTAATTATTTGAGAAGAGTTTTTGGTTCTTCTTATCAGTCGTGACAAAGAATCGAAGCGATTTTAACTTAATATCGCTTGAGTTAAGTACATATGTACATGTAATAAACATAAGTAACTAACTTTAGCTAACGTTATAGAATTTTTTTGAAATTAGCTTGATCAAAAAATAGTGAAAATTTAAAATCGTCTTTGAATAATTTCTGAAATAAAATAATAAAAACTCCTCCTTGTATTAAAAATACATTGAGAATTTCGATTTCATTACTGTTGAAGTTTATGGAGAGGGRTGACTTTATTTTTGAAACTTTTTTGGGAACTCAGTATAGGATAAATTGTTGGTTTCTACCCTGTTTTCGAAACTTGCAAATGTGTGTATAGATTTTGCACTGCAGAATTGCCGCCAAATGTCGGTGTTGAGAATATTTGTCTGCTGTGAGAGTGAACATTGTTTGCCYACTCAGGTAATCAATTAATCGACCACTTTGCCAGATGTGTTCGAATATTTATGTGGTATACTATTTTTCGTACTAAAATAATGCAAAGCAACTGAATTTTATGAATAAGTTTACACCGATTGGAGCAAAATGAATGTATTTATTGGGATTTTTATACCTGTATTTTCAAGCGTCAAATTTAAGCAAATATTGCATAAATGTCTTGTTATAATACACCATTTACTTTTAGAAAAATATTTTAACGATTTCACCAAAAAAGAATAATCATTAAAATGGGAACCTTCCTTCACCGGAATTGACCCTATGCCCCATTAATCGGAATCTACGCTAATATAACTTTTTGATAACCCAACTTTGATCCACAAAAATTCGGTAGCATAAAAACCAAGATTTCAAATCACATCTTTAAAAATGTATCAAAATAATAACATACTACTCATTATTGCCGTACAATGGCAACGCTGAGTTTTGCGCTCTCTCAATTGTCTTTAGGTGGAAAGCAGAAATTTAGCGCAACATTTTTTAGTTTGCGGTTAAAATTAAGCGATAAAGGATTAAAATATTTTGTGCACGCGGCATTATTTAATTTAAAAAGTATGAAAAAATATTACATACGCATAAGTTAACTCAAAGGTTTTAAATTAAATTGACTTACCTCAAATAATGAGATAAATCAAAAGTGAAGAGTAAAACTTGTTGATCTATATACATACGTAACTGGAAACAGTGCACTTCCATATCTAGATGCTATGAACAGCGGCTAAAACATAACTTTCTCGCCGTATTTGCAATTTGCAGTTGTAGAAAAAAGTTGAATTATTATGCTTTCAAATACATATCTATATATGTATATAATTAATACTTGAACAAATAMAAATAAATATAATTAATATGCTAAGCTAAATGAAATTCTAGCGCATACACAGAATTTAAAAAAGACAAGAGCGCAGCGACTTGTTGCAGCGGCATGACTTGTTTGCCAATTAGTTAAAAAAAAAATAATAAATACGTACTTGTTTTTGTTATTGGTGGCAGTGTTAGATAGCGCGTTGTAAAGAAGAAGACACCAAACAAAGTCAAACACGGCTTGAATATGTAAACACATATGTATGCCGCAAAAGAGTGTTTACCTGAAATTTGGARCTCACACCAACAACAACTACCTTAACAAATTTCAGCATAATTGTCCGCTTTCTATGCTCTCAACCTTTTCGACGTTGTGTCAGAGAGAGAATGTGTATAATAAGTAGTGAAAATGCAATGAGCATATGTGTACATAATTTGAAATTGTTTGAGCGTTTTGCAAAATTTGTGTATATAAGGCAAATCAGCTGCCATCTTCGCGTTCGTTTGCGCCGGATGACCTATGTGAGGGTGGGCTCTTCTTCTGGTTCTTAAAGGAACCACTAAGTTACCTCTAAGGCATGAGATGTTCGAGTCACCTGGATAGTGAAATGCCGGGCATTGACTCCACCGCTTGGCGTGAAGAGTTCTTCTAACAAGTCGGGTACGCTACGGCAACAGGTCAAGGTCATATTGTTTACTCGAATGTAATCCACGTGGAATGATACTCTGGTACGCGTTTCGAGTTTCGCTCGATGAGAATTCTTCACTCCAGGTGTAGGAGCCTGACAAGCCGAGTCTTCCGGGAACCTGAGACTAGTACAGTGTGCTCTCTCTGCACAGAGAGCATATCCACGAGCGGGTCCTCTAATACACCTCTAAGATTCACGCTATTGAAGCGATGTATCATATCTGATCGTTCGAGATCACGTCAGCTCCTTCAAAACAATAGAAACAAGAATTCACTTTTATGTCGTCTAAAACTAGAAGTAGAAAACGCAACATAGAAAAATTGGCAAATGGTCTTTAAATTGTAAACAAAAAAGTTTATACTTTTATAGTTCTCAGTGGATAATTTTTTGTTAAACCGGAGAAAGTAACGATAAAAACTTGACCCATTCTCTATATCTATCATTCTTGAGCTCTATGTTATTAAAACGGATTTTCCAATAGTGATGCTATGATTTCTAAGTGTCGGTTGAACAACCGTTACATTCACTTAAATTGAAAGTTTGATKTGGTTTTGGGTCTGGTGATATTATCGATCCGTACTTCTTTCGAAATGAAGCTGGTGACCGATACTGTCAATGGAGTGATATAGACTGATGATAACCGCCTTTTTATGGCCGCAATTGAATAAAGTTGATTTTAACAACGTCTGGTTCCATATAGACGGGACTACGACGGGGGTGCTGTCGAACGAACCGAATTATTGCGAGAAAAGTTTGGAGATTCGATTATTTCAAGAAAGTGGCACATGGAATGGCCTCCAAGAAGTTGTGATCTAACACATTAGATTCTTTCTAGTTAGATTATTTGAAGTCATTGGTCTGAGAAATCAACCAGACTCKCTTCAAGCTTTACAAAATCAATATTAAACCCGGTTGAACGTGATATTCATGTCAGTTATTAATATTTTAAAGAGAGTATATATAATACATAATACTGGCCATTTACCGGGTTTGATTGTGTTTTGTAGTCAGTATTGTCCTAGCCTTGGTATTACATAATATTAAACACAATGAAGTAATGCTGTTATTAATGAATTAAAATCACCAACTAAAGTCTGTCATATTTACGACAGGCCCACCGTTTATGACAAAACCGCAAAATAATTATACAGTACTAATACTTATGCAACGCACTGTGGTTTARTAAATGTGTCAACAAAATATCAAACAATAATTAACTCAAAATTTAATTACAAGTTTCTTTAAAAATAGGAATATCCGGATAATAATTACAAATTAAAAACAAGAAAAGTACAAAAACAAAAACACAATGACATCAACGTCAACGATTAAGAAATTTACAATCGTATTTGGCTTCATATGCTCGGTAAGTGAAATGAAATTTTTATGAAAAACTAATGTTTGTAATTTAAGAGATAAATATTATTCAATATATAAGAAGGAGGAGAAGAAGAGTTAAAAAATTAACAAATAATAATGCTCTTCACAAATACAACAGATTTCTTACAAAAACWTTGAGCGGCCAGTTTGTAAGGCAGCTACATACATACATACATATGTATATGCTATAGAGATTCGATCTGAACAATTTCTTGAAGACATTTCGTCAAATGGAAAAAGTTTTCCATTAAAGCACTTGATTCAGATCGTTGAGTTTATATGGCAGCTGTGTGCTATAGTGATCTCTACTAAACCATTTCTTAAAAATGTATGTACGAAAAACAAATACCGAATAACTWAGCGTTTTGGGTGTTTGAATGCCTACCATTTAACAAGCTACTAGAAAAAAATTAGATTTATGTGGTTCTATTCCAAAAAAATATATTTTTTTTTTGCAAAGCAAACTAATAAAACTAATTTTTAATATTTTATTATCAACAATTTTTCCGGTTTTCACTGTCAAGTTTTTACAGAGATCGTAAGAGCGAATCAGTGAAATATTTACTATGTCATAAATCTCTTGGASTGATTCAAAAATAATAAAGATAGAGATTATGCCAAATTTGAACCGTTACTTTTTTTGRTTTCGGCTGTGATAGCGGTAACCAAGATTGTAGCGACAAAATGCAAGCGGTAACGTAATTTAATAATTTTTAATTTTGTTTACAATATAAAAGCCATTTGTCGGGTTTTCTACGCTGTCTCTGCTCATTCTTAAATTCATTGCGTCACGATGTCGCAATTTTGCTTCTATCACTCTTCCGCTAGTTTTTATAGTAAAAGAATGAGGACAGCGTTTTTTGTTTTTTTGTGAATATTTCGGGTTGTTCGTTGAACTGTCTATATTAATTATTTGAGAGACAATACTCGTTTACTGCTTTTTGAAGCATTTGAATAAATTTCGTATATTTTTTTTATGTGTATGAAAATTCTAATTAAAAAAATCATATATTTTATATTTTCACACAATTTAAGATCTGATTGAATAAATATCAATTGAATCATCATTTGAAGTCACTGCTCCAGCGCAGTCTGAACTTGTCAAGGTCAAATTGAACCCGCCGTTTGCTTTAAAACCAGATTTTAATGGCAAAATTCTCATGCTTATTAATTTTTATTAATTTRTATCCATTATTATTGTTATTTTTATTACAGGTTTAAAAAGTTAAATCATAAGCGACAATTTATATTCTTTAAAGCATTCAAATTATTTGGAGAATGAGATTTATTTACAATACAAATGTATTCCTACATTTATGCACAGGATTATATTGTCCACATCATCTTTTAAGGGTTAACTGTTCTACGCCAAATTTAATTTATTAAAAACGAAAGCAATCATGTGAGCAAGCAATCAAACAAAATACTTGTTTACCAGCAGTTTAAAATTTTTGAACGTACATACATGTGTATCTATAGAAATACAAATTTATATGTACATATATATGTATACCGTCACCTAAAATACAAAATAATGTAACATCACTTTTATTAAGTGTAGTACAGGCGCGGGAAAAACGATATAATAGGAAMAACTCAAATTTAAACAAAGTTTTGGTTATAAAATGGTTATATATTGGTTAATATATCTGGTAGCGGTTTTCGATTTTTTTTTGATTATGCACTGTTTTGCATTTTAGGTGATGATATATGTATATACATATAACAAAATATCTGTTTGGGTTATAAAACTGGTTATATAGTGGTTATTATACCTGATATTTGGTTATATATTGGCTATTATATCTGACAGCGATTTTCAAGATACRCTGTTTTGCATTTCAGGCGAAAATATATACATATACAGTAATATATTGCAATTTGTTAATAAAAGCAAAAATTATTATAAATCCACCTCCTTTCAAAAGCAATAACAATAAAAGAAATAAATACTAAACATTGCAGAATTTCAATTTCTGGCTGACTGTCATAAGGCATCTGCTTTTGGCAATAAATACATATATATAGCGATGTATATATGTATGTATGCAAGTGGCTATGCACTTAATGCCAACATATGTTTGCTTGTCGCGATTAAAAATTATTTTCGCCTAGAGAATATGAAGCCTTTTGTTGCTAACGGGCTACTAACCAAAAGGTATAAATATAATTCGGTTGAGTGACTAATCAACACATTTGTATTTAAATGTATGAATTCTATAAAACAAATTGATTTATGAACGATTCTATTTCAATTACTATATATTTATGTTTTGTAAAGAAGTAGGGAAGCACTAAAACTTCTTCTTCTTAATTGGCGTAGACACCGCTTACGCGATTATAGCCGACTTATCAATAACGCGCCAGTCGTTTTTTCTTTTCGCTACGTGGCGCCAATTGGATATTCCAAGCGTAGCCAGGTCCTTCTCCACCTGGTCCTTCCAACGGAGTGGAGGTCTTCCTCTTCCTCTGCTTCCCCCGGCGGGTACAGCGTCGAATACTTTCAGAGCTGGAGTGTTTTCGTCCATTCGGACAACATGACMTAGCCAGCGTAGCCTCTGTCTTTTAATTCGCTGAACTATGTCAATGTCGTCATATATCTCGTACAGCTTATCGTTCCATCGAATGCGATATTCGCCGTGGCCAACGCACAAAGGGCCATAAATCTTTCGCAGAACTTTTCTCTCGAAAACTCGCAACGTCGACTCATCAGTTGTTGTCATCGTCCAAGCCTCTACACCATATAGCAGGACGGGTATTATCAGTGACTTATAGAGTTTGGTTTTTGTTTGTCGAGAGAGGACTTTGCTTCTAAGACGTAGGTCGGATATTAGGCTTTGTCGCAAATTTTTGAAAATGTTTCCTGTAATCAAACGACGAAATTATAGTCTCCATTTCGGATATTAAATAACCTCGAATACTTAACGTGTTTATCAAGCTTCATTTAGACCTGCTGTAAACGACTGAAAAGTTTTCATCCATTCCATATAGTATTTATACGACATAATGTTAAGCRAAGAGCCACAATCTATATCTTCATTCAGGTATAATAGGGGTASTTGCGACATGATTTGGTCAGTATAGTAATCGGGCCTGTATTTTTTGACATTTTTTTTCATAGAAATTTTTATTCTACAATAGAACTTTTTTCACATATCATGAGGTATATCGTGGCGTGGCGTGTATAAACAAATTTTTTCGAAATTTTTTGATGACATCTGTCGGAGGAATGGCTGGGTGAATGAGATGCGATGTTTCACTGGCGGACACGATTTCCCATGTTTGCATCATCTGGAACAAAAAACCCAAATTAATCTTAAAAAGTACGTAAATGGTTATCGTCCTACTAGAATCATGAAATAATGTTGATAAATAAAAAAGTAATTAACTTTTTTTTTTTAATTTTTCCCCATGCTTTTTTACATGCATTTTATCATAACATTGTCAATAAATTATATATAAATAAAGGGACGATAGCTAGGCGTTTTGTGATCATTTAAAAAAAAATTAAGCAAATCGGTTGAGTAGTTCGACCGGAATCATGTCCGTCAGTTTAAAAAAGTGTGTTTGGAGAAAAACGCGTTTAAAGTTTTAGTTGTGCACTCCGAGCGTCGAGCGGTATTCCAATGGTAAAGTTGGTTTCTACATTAATTCTAAGGGTATAAGCGTACAGAAAATTAAAAAAAATTAAAACAAAAACATTTTTTTTTAATATTACCCTACTGACCCCTTGAATTGGCCAAGCATCAAAATTTCAATTCTAATTGTGCCATTCCTATAGTCAAATTTTCCAACTGATGCATATCACAGCTTTTAAGCACTTTTGTATCCCGAGGAATGGGGGGGGCCGATATTTTTATATCCTCGCATTAACATATAAAAGTTATAGTTTATTAGATACCTCTGTTCGTTACGTCATTCTGAATGTTTTGTTGTCCATAACCACTGCTTACTATCTATATCATATTGCATTGCTATAAACTTCCGTTATATGAGGGAATATAAAAACATCAAAAGCCCTTTAAAAATTTCATAAAATCGTTCGAAGCAAACGAGTGAGTAGAATAGCGATGTGGCCAGATGGTAATAACATTATAAAACAACTTTTAAGCAAAATTACAAAAATTAGATTTTGTTTTATATATTAG